TTAAAACTGAATAAAAGTTTAAATAAACTAATTTGGAAGACATATAGAGTAATAATTTATAAAATTTTACAATTTTTAAGTAATCTTTTCTTTAAGTAAGGCAGGCACCAGAAACATAGAATGTGGGGAAAACAATTTACTTTTTAATTCCAAAAGTATGTCTTGAGGCTGACATTGTGGCACAGCAGGTAAAGCCACTGCCTGTGACACTGGCATCCCATATGGGAACCATTTCAAGTCCCAGCTGCTCCACTTCTGATACAGTTCTCTGCAATAGCCCAGGGAAAAGCAGCAGAAGATGGCCCAAGTGTCTGGGCCCCTGCCACCCATGTGGGAGATATGTATAATGCTCCCGGCTTTGGCCTAGCCATTTGAGAAATGAACCAACCGATGGAAGCGCAGCCCTCCATTCTCTAACTTTTTCAAATAAATCTTTTTATTAATTTTTTATTAGTATATCTTCTGGCCCAGACACTACACTCTTTCATCCTTTAATCAAGAAACAAGAAAACATGTCCACACAAAGATCTGGACATGAATGTAGCAGCTTCACTCACCACAGCTAAAACTGGAAACAATCCAAACAGCAACAGGAGACGCAACAAACTGCAATGTAATAGTACATACAATGGAAGACTACTTAGCAGTAAAAAGAAACACACTGAACGTGCCACCACACACACAACTATGAAAATTATACCACACTAAAGAAGTCATACACAATAGTACATACCACATGACTCCACTTTGTGAAGTTCTACAAATGCAATAATGAAAGCTATCAAAACAGCAGCTATTTCTAGGTGAAGGGAAAGGGAAGTAAGGGAAACTTCTGCAGATGTAAATGTGCTGAAACTTGATACAGGTGATAGTTTCATACAGGTGATGTACCCATTTGTCAAGGAGAGTGCAGTTAAGGGATGCACACTTCCATCTCCTGTACAGTATACCTCAAAACCAGAGCTAAAACAGAGAAATTCCACAGAGCAGAGACAAGCGGAAGCATTAGAGAAAGAGTAATGGCAGAATTTTTATAATTGTTAAAGCTACGTGAGGAGCACATGTTGTCATGTTTGCTCTCCATGTATCTGACATTTTCCAAAATAAGTTGAACAATACATGTCATTGAAATATACCATCAAAATGTTTCGTACCATAAAAAATCCCTCTCAAGCAGCTTTCTCTGGACCCAGGAGAGGTTCCTCAAGATCCACAGAGATCCTGTGTCTGTGCTTCACGTTGCAGATTTTAAATGGGCTCATTATCTTCTCCAGCTGCCCTGTCCCCACCCCAGCATATCTCCCATCTAATGGGCCAACAGGGTAAATATGATATGGGCTTGTCTCCACTACCACCAGACTCCAAAGTGATTCTCCTCTGGACCCTCAAATATTTATTTCTAGCAAATACCAGTGCAGATAGAGAAATCAGAGCTGATCTGTCCACTGCGGAAAGCAACTGATTTGACAGAGCCAAACCTTAGTCTGTCTTCATTCTCACTACTCCCAGAAGACAGTGTTTTTAGACGTTAATAAGAAAAACGAAAATGTGCTTTTTCTGAAATCTAGATTTTTAAAAATCTTCCAAGTTTTTTTTAAATCTCTCTTATTTTTCAGCAATATAAAGGAACAAACATTCATAATAAAATTCAAGGTATTTTAACTAAGGTATCAGTGGCAATTTCTCCACCATGTACTGATAAGACTCGGTCACATACCAGTCACTGAACAAACATGCCTTTGTTTTCTAAGTTTTTTTTTTTTTTTTTTCCGTAAGTCCAAAGAATCAGAAGCAACATAGAGACAAAGAATGACTTCAGACTCAATCACAGCTATTTAAAGGAATGGTGTGTTAATACTCTTCCAGCTCATAAGAGGATTGTAAGTACAGTTAGGTAAATATATTCTTGACAGAACCTAGTAAGCTCACTCAAGTATTTCTACCAGTCCTCTATAGTCAACATAAGATAAACACTAAAATTAAAGATCTAAAATGTACAAACTTTATAACCTCTACTTAGAAATCTTTATGTAAAATTTGTATACATATCCTGCTAAGTTCCAATGAAGAACTGCGCAAGACAGTAAATGGCCAATGCTCAGAAAGTGAAAGTGATCCTTGATGCTAACATATTCATTCATGCATCATTCATTCATCCAACAAATGGTTTAGTGTCCACTCATACCAGATATTCTTGTAGATGCTAAAGAAATGGCAATGAACAAGAATGCCCTCTTAGAGCTTACATTTCAGTACAAGGAGACAGACTGATCAAAAGGGCTGAAAATAAGAAGTACCATGGAGAATGAATCAGGTTACGGGTAGAAGGCTGTGGATACTGCTACTTAATACATTTGCTCAGAAAAAAGTCCCTCAATTACAGTGACATTTCAATAAACCTGAAGCCTACGGAGTTCCAAAATCCCAGGCACAAAAGTGCCAAGTGCAAAGGCCCAGCACCTGAACCCACTTCAGACTTAAAAAACCATCAGTGCAGCTACAGCAGAGTTAGGGTAAGGACTAAGATGGAAGGGAGGGGCATGATACAAATGACTCACACCCTCATGGGCTATTTTCAGGATGTGGGCATCAAGTGTGAGAGAGATGGGGAGCCACTGGAGGACTGAGCAGAAATGATCCTGTATATTTTATTGAAAGACTACTAACTGGGTAACCAGCATCCCCTATGGGCACCAGTTCAAGATCAAGGTGTTCCACTTTCCATTCAGCTCCCTGCTAATATGCCTGGGAAAGCAGCAGAGGATGGCCAAGTCCTTGGGCCCCTGCACCCACGTGGGAGACCCGGAGGAAGCTCCTGGCTCCTGGCTTCAGCCTGGCCTGGCCATCGCTGTGATTTGGGAAGTGAACCAACAGATGGAAAATCAATCTATCTCTCTTTCTCTCCCTTCTTCCCTTCCTCCCTCCTTCCCTCTCTCTCTCTTCCTCTCTCTGTGTAACTCTTTCAAGTAAATCAATCAATCTCTTAAAAAAAAAAAAGATTACTATCTGTGTGAGGACAGTAGGAGAACAAAGGATGAGACAGGAAGACCGGTTCAATTTCAACAAATCACAGTGCATGCCGAGGAATATTTTAACTTTATCTGTTTACAGGATGGTTTCATTATATGGATTGGATTGATATTTGAATAACTAAAATACCAGTCAACTGAACTTCTTGTTTGCCACTGGCTTGACTGATTAGTTTTTAAGAAATAAGAATCTCAGTACTTTTCAGGCTTTAGTAGTTCCTTCATGTAATCAACCTAATAGGTAAATAAAACAAAAATTGCTGATTTCCAAACAATCTTACTTTTCAAAGAATCCCTCAAAAAACTCAGAAAATATTGTAATTTGCATACTAAATACAAAAGGTTTCATATCATTGAAGTTATTCACAACCCTCATTCCAACATATACCATAGTAGTCAAAACCAATTTAACTAATATTTCTGAAAGCTAAATTGAATAATCATTTATTGCAAAGCATAAAACCTACCAACACTCTCCAAGACTTCAGTTGCATATTTGAACACAATCTCTGCATCTCCAGTTCCCTTAAGTTCAGTGAGCAGCATGTCCACCCATAGCCTCACCCAAACCACGCTGCTGTCACTTTAAGTTATTAGAAGCTATAGGAAAACCAGCGCACATCGCATACCTTTCAGGACTTCTGGCCATCCTTGAGTGCTATTAATTGGTTTAAGAGGGTATCAGAAACACATGCTTTCCTGCACACTTTGGTGATTCACCCCATGCTCAAAGCACTCTGATAAATTAAATCAGCCTGGCTGTGTCATGAATCACAGCTGGCATGCCTGAGTACTGCTCTTTGATGATGAGCAAGCAATACAAAACAAGATGCTGATTCCACTCTTCAGAATCTCATCTTCAGCCTCCTGTATAATGTTACTAGGCAGGATTTTAAAACACCAACAAATGTTACAATATAGTATGCCCTGGTTTTCAAAACCTAAGCCCACTTGCCAGAAAACTGATGGGTGTAGTTTTTTGTTTTTTTTGTTTGTTTGTTTTTTCCCTTCCCAAATAATAGGCAGCATCTACAACAAGAAAGGCAACTGGGTAGGGAGGTGGGGAGACATTATTTAAATGGCTTATCCAGCTTTTTGATTACCAGGGAAGCTTTGGTGGGGCTGGGGCGCCCAATACGCAGAAATGGGGGGACTGATTAGCCACATATAACACAGGTGTGTTCTGCAGTGTCGAGCTCTGCTAAGTTCTTGAACAAGCAGGGTGCTCTCCCTCTCTGGGGGCAGACTCTGCTGTACCACCTTCACTCCAGACTCCACTCAACTGTCCCTCGCCGCTCCCTTTCCCTTCCCTCCAATTACAAACTCTGGCTTCATGTTGTCTCATTCTTATTGTATCGAAGGCATTTTTGTGTTTTGTCTTTTATTTGGTGGCGGGGAGGGGGAGGTTGCAAATTGCCTTAAACCCTTCCTGGCTTTCTGTTAGGTGGGCTTAGGTTTTGTAATACCAAGATCTCTTTCTCCAGGTCTAAATTTAAATATAGTAGGCGGGGAGAAACGTTGAAATGGGGTGTGTGGGTGTCTATGTCAAGATTCCTCCGTGTCTAGGAATGAGAAGGATTAAGAACAAAAATACAGAAATGCTAAGAGGATTTGAGGGTGTGTGTGTGTGTGTGTGTGTGTGTGTTTTCATTCCCAGGGCAAAGGGAAGCAATCAGGAAGGAAGGGAGAAGAGAAAGATCAACCGAGGCAGTCGCCCTCCCCCACCCCTTCGACCCCTCTCCAACCCACGGCACCGCCGGCGCTTCCCAGAAAGCTCATTACCCGGAGGGCAGATTCCCGATCCCAGAGCCAACGACCCAACGACCCAACACCCGGCAGGCAGGCAGGGCAGACAGAGGGATGAGGATGCGAAGGAACTGACGCGGGGAAGCAACCTGGCTGAGGAAGCCAGAGCGAAGGATGACATCGATGGCCGAGATGGAAAGGCAGGGCCGGGCTGCCGGGACCTACCTGGAACAGTCAAGGTAGAGGCTGCCCCGGGCACCCCTGGCCTCTCCTCCTCAGCCTCCTCCCGCTGCCTTTGCTGCTGCTGCTGCTGCTGCTGCTGGATTAGACTGAGGTCGGAGCGGCTGAGCTCGGCTCTGGCGGCCGCGGGGACCAGCCGCGCCTTCAGCAGCACCGCGGCCAGGCCGAGGAGCAGGGTGCAAGGGACGCGCCGGCAGAGCCTCGCCATGGCCGAGAGCCAGAGGGCCGCGGCGGCATATTGCGGGGCTCCGGGCTGCGGCGGGCGCCAGGGTTGCGGGCTCCCGGCGGCGCCCGCTCGCTCGCTCCCCCTCGCGCCGTCTGCGCGCACAGCCTCACGCCGAAGAGGAGGCCGCGCAGGCGGCGGGGGCGGAGGCAGCGGCCGCGGCGACTTCGCCTCCTCGCGCACGTGACGCGCGGGCTGGGGCGGGGCGAGCCGGGCACCCGCAGCCCCGCGCCGTCCGCCCGCCGCCGCGGGGCTGGCTGGAGAGCGCGGGGATGTCGGCGCTGCGATTCGGGAAGGCCTCCGAGGCCGGCCGAACAAGAAAGCAGAGCCGTTCTGGGGAACCTTCAGACCGGCCCCCCTCCCCACTGCTACTAAAGCAGCGGGAAAATGTGAAGAAAGTGGAAAAAAATTCCCGTCCCCCCCCCCCAGCAGACCCCCAGGTGGGACACGTTGATTATGCTCATCGCAACGCTTAATGTGGCAGCAACGGGTCAAAAAGCCAGGGTCTCCTAACCGGATAAGCTCTGCTGCATCCCAGCCATCATTGCTTACCTAGAAGTTCAACTATGGCTCTCCGGTTTTTGACTCTGCCTGAGTGGGAATCTCCTTCTATATCTTAAAATATTAATTGCATTTTGTCTAAGTGTAGCTGGGCTACACTTCGCATTTGTTCAAAAGAGATTTTGCTAAATACTAGGAGCCTTCTATACACGGGCATTTAGGTTCGTGGAACAAGTGAGGTACAATACTTGCTTGCTAAAAGCTCACCACCTGGGCAGAGGGTGCATATAAACAAATGTTAATCCAGGCAAGTGCTTGCAACTGGAGAAGCAGTACAGTGTCCCATGGTTGCACAGAATTGGGGGAAATTCATGTAGAAATAGAGTTGGGAAACACTGGGAAAGATGGGATTAAAAAAGAGTGACCATTCCACACATAGAAGGCAACCAACCCTCTAAAAAGTGCAGGGAGTGGTGTGTAGGTGGGCGCCTGCGCACACACGCTGACCTGAACATGTAAAACCCAGAGACCATGTTCTGTGCACACCGAAGAATGTGGCCCACGAACAAGCAGACAGAAAGCTAATTTTAGCCTTCCCTGGAAAAGGTGAAGAGACAAAAAATCCCTACACCTGACAGCCCGGCGGGCAACTTAATAAGGTCCTGAGAGCCCAGTCTGCATTCAGACTGGCGTATTTATGGACATGAGTATGGCTCCCCGTTTCCTCTCTCTGCCTCCCTCTTTTGGGAAAATCTGAGTGGAGGACTTCTGGATATGGAATTCTCCTAAATAAACCCCTCTGGACAATACTGGCCATCAGCGTTCTTATCGATTGGAGGAGCAAATGAGTCCTTCAGCCCAGAAAGGAAATTCATTGAATTTCCTTTTTCTTTTTTTTTTTTTTTAAAGATTTGTTTATTTACTTGAAAGGCAGAATTACAGAGACAGAGGGAGAGACAGAGCAAGTGAGCTTCCATCTGCTGGTTCACTCCCTTGATGGCCCCAACAACCCCGGTCTGGGCCAGGGCAAAGCCAGAAGCTCCCACCATGTGGGTGCAGAGGCCCAAGGACTTGGCCATCCTCTGCTGCTTTCCCATGCACATTAGCAGGGAGATGGATTGGAAGTGGAGCACCCAAGAATCAAACCGGTGCACATCTGGGATGCCGGCACTGCAGGCCATGGCTTTAACCTACTGAGCCACAGCACTGGCTCCAGTGAATTCTTTTTTTGATAAAGGACAGGCAAGGACACCTTGGGCTAGGGGAGTCAGACAAGAGGCGGGGTTCTACTTTCAGGATTTGCTACCTCATTCCATTGCACATAAGTTTATTTTCTTTAAAACTTCTCATTTTCTTCAGTCCCTCTTATATACACAGGCTAATATCTACCTAGCTGCCTTAACAGTAGCACAGTGAGCTTAGAACATTGTGGGCAGAGGAGGGACTGTGTTAAATGAAGTGGAGACCAGGTCATTAAAAACAATAACATGGGGATGGCTCTGTGGCATAGCAAGAAAGGCTGCCACATGCAGTGCCAGCATCCCCTATGGGTCCAGTTCAAGTCCTGGCTGCTCCACTTCCAATCCAGCTCTCTGCTATGGCTCTAGAAAGCAGTAGAAGATGACCCAAGTCCTTGGGCCCCTGCACGCTCAGGGGAAAACCTGGAGGAAGCACCAGGCTCCTGGCTTCAGATCGGCACAGGTCTAGCCATTGTGGCCAATTGGGGAATGAACCAGCAGATGGAAGACCTCTCTCTGCCTCTCCTTCTCTCTCTGTGTAACTCTTTCAAATAAAGAAATAAATTTTTAAAATAATAGTAATAAGAGCATTTCTGTGGTACCTGCTGTGTATCAGGGACTCAGCTCTTTATACATATTAACTCTTTTTTTTTTTCTGACAGGCAGAGTGGACAGTGAGAGAGAGAGACAGAGAGAAAGGTCTTCCTTTGCCGTTGGTTCACCCTCCAATGGCCGCTGCAGCCGGTGCACCGCGCTGATCCGATGGCAGGAGCCAGGTGCTTCTCCTGGTCTCCCATGGGGTGTAGGGCCCAAGCACTTGGGCCATCCTCCACTGCACTCCCTGGCCACAGCAGAGAGATGGCCTGGAAGAGGGGCAACCGGGACAGAATCTGGCGCCCCGACCGGGACTAGAACCCGGTGTGCCAGCGCCGCTAGGTGGAGGATTAGCCTAGTGAGCCGCGGTGCCGGCACATATTAACTCTTGTAATAAGCATGCTGTGCAAGAAAATGGAAACATACACAGTGGACAATGATGAAAAAATTGAGAGATCCAGTACCCGTTGTGCATTTTAAGAGGACCACTTTGATATCAGCGTGGAAGATGGATTAGAAGGTGGTAGATGAGACACAAAGTATTTAGGTGCCTCAGTTCAGAGACATTTGCAAAAACCCATGAGACTTCAAAGGCCTGGGAGACTTGAAAAGGAGAAGAGAAAGTGAGATATTAGCTTTTTCGAGGCTATTGGCTATTTGAGGCTAGAATCAACACAAATGCTTAGTCAAGGCTGTGGGATGGGGGACAGGGTGAGCTTGTCTGGTATGAAACACAAGTTGCCAGACTGAGATCTTGGGTAGCCCCCTATGACACTGTCCACATCAACTGGTGATGGATTGCAGGGTGGGTCTAGAGCAATGGGCCCCTGCTTGGTCAGTTGTAGTCTCCTAGTGCCACTGTATAACGTAAATCTCATCTGTAAATGTCCATTTACCATCGTAGTTGATTCAGTTGATTGAGTGGACAGTTGAGGAGATGAACTTGGGAAGGTGAAGTTATCAGGTTCCCGCACCTTTCACCCTTGCTCTTTCATCTCTGTGCTCCAGTATCTCAGTATCTCTATGGTAACTGGTGTCATGGTAACTGACAGGTCTACCTGCTTGGCTAGGTGCCCAGGGGTCTGTTTGACTCTGGTCCACTTTTTTGTACAAACCCATATAAGTAACTGAGGAGCATGACTAGATGCAGCAGCCTTGGATGTGTCGCTGTAGGTGGCTACCTGTGGCTGCATGTTAAATGTCCCTGGGTGTGTGTGTGTCCAACCACTGCTGGGACACAAAGGCCCCACTGCCCTTGGGGGGTTAGTGGCTGCTCCTTGTCCATGTCTCACTGCCACTGTGAGTAAAGAATCCACGGATCCCGGGCCCTACACCCCAGGCATGCAGTCCTTTTTTTATGTTTAGTTCTTTTTTACCCTGCCATTCTTACATATATCCCTCCCAATATTTTCAACTTGCTGGAAAACAACAAGCTTCTCAGTTGTAGAAAGTTATTCTGGGGCCAGCACTGTGGCACAGCTGGTTAAGCCACTGCTTGCAGTGCTGGCATCCCGTATGGGCAACGGTTTGAGTCCCAGCTGCTCTACTTCCTATCCAGCTAATGCACCTGGGAAAACAGTGGAAGATGCCCCAAGTGTTTGGGCCCCTGCCACCCACAAGGGAGACCCGGATGAAGCTCCTTGGCTCCTGGCCCAGCCCTGTCCATTGCGGTTAAGTGGGGAGTAAACTGATGGATGGAAGATCTCTCTCACTCTCTCTGTGTAACTCTACCTTTCAAATAAATAAGTAAATCTTAAAAAAAAAAAAAGAAAGAAAATTATTCTTTGATCATGGGTGTGAAAATAGTGCCTATCTTACCATAAAGTATAATAATAATAGGCATTTTACATACATTATCTCACATCCTCAAAGCAGTTTTACAAATTAGCTCTCATTATTCTATTTAGTGAATGGAACCAATGAAGATGAGGGAGGCTCTGTGTCTTGCTCAAGGCCCCACTGATACGATCTGGTACAATATGACTTTACTGTACTATACTGTTTGGAACTTCTACCACAAGCTTGTATTGACTTTATAGTCATTTTTAATAAAAATACACACATATATTAATACTTAGAAAATAGATTCCAAAGTGATGCCTCTCACACGGAACACTATTGTGTTCTGTCATTGGTTTGCCTTGTTTGGGAGCAGGAGCCGCTGTGGGGAGAGGGCTGAGTGCAGTGAGCGTTCATTAATCTCATCATGCTGTTTTGTTGAATTCTCTTCCAAGTTACCCCTGCTCCTGGGGAGAAGAAAGAAGAAAATGGAAATGGCTCCAAAAATCTGACTGGTGGATCAGAAGGAAGGGAATGCTGCCAGGATACCTGTGTCTTGTCTTTTGGTGGCCAAATCATCTTTAATGTATTAGAAATAGACCTTCACCAGTCAAAAAAACCACTGAATGGTGGCCCAAGTAGAAAGTGAGCCCCAAATTTTTCAATACTGTCAACTCTTCAAAGAGAGTTTTGTCAATCATGGATATTTAAGTGGTTTTTAAATGCTCTGTTACTCATTAAGTTTATTTTATGTGCAGTATGCAAAAGCCATGTTACCTGATACAGTAAAGGCTGATGTTGAATCAAAGAAGTTGGGCAAAAGATGTAAAAATCAATATATCCTAAGGATATGTTAAACTGCTTATTTGATCACTATATTCCTAAGTCTGTATATCTGAAATACATGAAACTTGTATAACAAATAAAATTTAAAAAATAAACTGCTTATTTGACCTTAAAATAAATAAATATATATTCATGCACCAGTCTTTTGATTGAAGTACAAGAATTTTCTTTGTACATTTAACCACATCTTAG